TGCGGGCAGCCTCCGGCCGCCCCCGGCGCCGCCGGCCGGGGAGTGAAGGGGTGGCAGAGCAAAGGGCCTTGTGTATTTAGGGAGCCTTGTGTAAGCAGGGAGGAAAAGAGCGATGGGTAGGATAGGTCTTAGTCTAGGCACAAAAAGTGGGCGAGATGCAGGGTGTGATGGGTGGAGGGATTTAGTGTTAAAACGCGCGTAGTTTTGCAGAGCAGAGGTGCCGACTTCCTCGGGTCTACATCTACCCGTGAAGCCTGAATAGATCAGGGACTGCCAGTCTTTTTTCCCTTACGACGTCTATACTAAAACCCTTGTGGGGAAAATGAAGCTATAAATTCATAAGCTTTTCTTCTTGAAAACACTTTTGATGAGGGCTTCCTCGTAGTTGTGCCTCTGCAACTCTTCATAGAGCTGGTGACATAAACTGGGTTACTTTGAATGCACGCTTCTCTTGTTTGGTTCATTGCTTGGCCTGACAGTTTTATTGGCACAACTAAATTATCAAGGCATGAATGATTAAGGAAGTGATGGTGTTCTAGGACTAGTTAAGCCAGTAGCGTTGTTGGAAAAATGATCTTAAATGTACCTCAAAAGTTGCAGGACAATTACTAGAAAATTGCTTTAGACGGTGGCACGCTTAGCATTGTGGTCCAGAGATGGTAGTAATTTACTAAGGCTCTTGTGAAACAAATGTATTTGGATAAAACAGGCTGCTGAGTCCTTGGAGCGTCATGTTGATGTCTGCCCGAGTCTGCAGACTGTTTTGCTCTCATAGCTTGTGTTTATTGCTCAGCAGTCCTTGCTACTGCTGATATATTAAAATAAATAAATAAATAGTCTCAGCATGGAATTTGATAGAGAATTGTGCACAGCTGAAGAGCTGTAGTTCAGATGTCTTCTTGTTGTGGAAGAATTCCAGACAAGTGAGAGTTCATGTAGAGTCTTAAATCATGTTTTCAACAGTTATTTTCTCAGATGGTGACTACAGTTTTAACTTTAAAAACTAGCACCGTGCTGTTAACAACCCTTTTCAGTCAGTCAGTTTGATCATTTCAGTGACAGAATCATGTTTTATCGCTTTTATCTTTTCATAACTGATATGCCTGAAATGACAGTCAGATTCTAATTCTCTAATCCATCAAAAGACCTGTTAATTAGAATGAGTCAATCATTTTGTTAGTTTGAAATGGAAAAGACTATGCCTATCTGGGTGCTAGTGACTCTGAATTTATTTTTCTGCAGTTTTTTCTGCGTACAGTGTAGAAGGAAACGCAGCATAACCTTTAGATCCTGTGTTATGTTTGCAAGATAGGCATCTTAAAAAAAAAATAAAGAAACAATGCAGTAAGATATTAAATGAAGCAGCAATTTCTACAGGTTTTCTTCTTGGATTTGTCCTTATTTTTAAATACATTTAATGTCTCTTTTGTGAGAGGAGGAAGCAAATTCCTTTGCTTGCTGACAGAATAAAAATTTAGCAATGTAATGTTTTTCCTTTTTGTTTCTCAGTTTGCTTGTAAGACACACAATTTCTTTTTGCAGTTGCTTATGCCCTTTAGTGAAGTATCTGATCCCTGAGATGAACCGTTAGTTTAATCTATGGTTTAGAAATGCCTGTCTAGGCAAAGATTTTTTTTCTCTGATTTTTACTTTAGAGATTTTTGTTGATGAACTTGGCATTGCAAACATTTACAGGAATATATAGCTGCTGCCCTAGATCCTTTTGTAGTACAAGAGATAGCAGGTTTGCCTTGCAAGGTTTGGCCTTTTGGAGTAATTTTTCTTTTTTTAATAGACAACATGGCAAGCCCGGGTAAAGATAACTTCAGAATGAAAAGCTACAAGAATAATGCACTTAATCCCCAAGAAATGCGCAGACGCAGAGAGGAGGAGGGAATCCAGCTTCGGAAACAGAAAAGGGAAGAACAGGTAAGTGTCTTGGTGAGCTGTTAACTGTTGAGTGCTTGTGAAGCTAAATTCAGATATGCAAAAGGGCTTCAGCAGACTCCTCCTGCTGAGCAGAATCCAGAATGCCAGGTTGAATGTCTGTTTTCTGTGCAATCTTGGGGAGCACCAGGCACCTCTTGATAGGATCATAAACCAAAAAAGTGAACAGAAGCCCTCTTCAGTCACTAGGGCACAGAGAGGAGAGACCTGTGTCTTAAGTTTAATCCTTAGCCTAGATTTAAACATGTAAGACTGGGCTGAAAGCATACTATTATTTCCAGTAAGGATTAGAAACCTTGCATTTTCTTCCAGAGTTCGGGCCAAAGTTGTACTGTTAGAAGGGAGGAGGTTTATTTTCATCTTTGAAGCCATACTTCAAATTGCCCTAGAGCTTTTCTACAGTAACTTAGGTGGCTACCAATTAGTAATCCCCAAACTATTGTATATAACATTTTCAGCTGTCCTCATTCAATTTTTAGTGATCAGAGTACATGGAGCATTGTGTAATTTCATGGTTTGTGGTAGTTTTTTTTCCAAAAATGTTTAGTAGTTTCTTGCCAGGAAAGTAAGGAATGTAGTTTGTTTTTCTGCTTGGTCTAAAGTGGCTGAATTTGTCTCCCACACCCTAGAGAGTGTCCCAGGCACTGATCTACAGCCTTCTCTGAGGTGGGAGTGCTTACCCTTCTCCTGGGAAAGTGGTGCTACTGCATGGAAAAAGAATTTAAATTAGTTGAGCCAGAGAGGTAAGAGTAAGAAGTAGTATGATACTGGAGCATTTACCTGTGAATGGGTAACTGC